GTTGGTGGACTTAACATCACGGTGAATGATTCCCCCAGCTGCACCTCTGTGGAGGTAATGAAGACCCCTTGCTGCACCAATACAAATTTCAAGCCTTTTCTTCCATGACAAGCGAGGCAAGTTTGAATCATATAAATGATCTCTCAAGCTCCCTTTTTCCGTGAACTCGTAGACCAGTATCATCTCAGACCTTTCATCACAGTACCCAATTAAGGAAACAAGATGGCGGTGGCGAATCTTGGACAAAACCATGATCTCTGTTTGAAATTCTGGAAGGCCCTGGCCTGACCCTTGCTCATCTCGTTTACCTCGCTTGACAGCTACATTGGTGCCATTCAACAGAGTTCCTCTGTAGACATTCCCAAAGCCACCCTCACCTATCAACAATTTTGTGTCAAAGTTGTTTGTTGCTTGCTGAAGTTCAGCAAAAGATATCTTCAACCCAAGATTTAGATAATTCATAGGGGAACCAGTAATAGTTCCATCAGTCAACTTGCTGTGGGTACTCCCTCCTCCAAATGCAGGCACTGGTGACCATTCCGAAGTTTCAACACGCTTTGCCTTTCTGTATTTCAAACCGAACAAGATTCCGACAATCAGAATGCAGATAAGTGACAGGCCTCCAATAACTGAACCAACCACAAGACCCACATTTATCTTCTTGCGCCCTTTCATATTACAAACTGAAGCTGGAGGGTTACTTAAAGCTGGTCCCTCTATTATCTCCAACATTTCCAGTCCATTGAGAAAGGAATTGTTAGGGCCTATGCTGATGTTAATGAATTCAGATCCATTAGAACTCAATACAAAATCATAGTAGAAAGGCCAGTACGGGTTATTAAAACTGAAATGGGGTCCACCAACCTTCTTAATGAAGTTTCCATTTGAATACAAGTTAAATACTAATAAATTACGAAGCAGACCGATAATGTCACAGAAGTGAACCCGTACGAGGTGTCTAGCATCCGCACTCACATTAAAAGACCAGGTTATGTTGACGGGATTGGATAGCCCGGTAATATTACCGGTCATCACTTTGGCGGTCTGGTAAACTAAGTCTGGAGCAATAAAATCACTATCAGCACCAACGAAACCATCAGATTCTACCAACTGTCTAATAAGCGTCTGTGAGGAGGGTCGGCTATCCTCTTTAGAGGTTGAATTAGACAGATATCTATCATCTTGTTCCCAGTTTCTCCGTATTTTGTCATTATCTGCTGTGATTTTCTGGCCTCCAACATTCACCCTGTAAATTGTACGTAGAACTAAAGGGAAACTACTGCTGTAATTCCGAGGGCTGAATTTCAAAGGTGCACGGAAGACTTCAATGGCATTTACAAATGCAAAAGATGATCCTTGAGGTGCAAAATATATTTTAAATGAGCCAGGACCAATGGCAAGAAAGAACTCCTCTATCAAAGGAGAGTTGCTACTGTTCTTTGCAGTGAAATTGCTCAGCAGTTTGAACCCAGAATTTGAAACAATAGGAAAAGCCGAAACATCAAAAAGAGCTGATGAGAGATTAACTGAGGAGGAGGAGAAAGCCAAGAAATGCAGACGGACAATATAAGTACCGTTTACAGCGATCTTGAACTCATAGTAGGATTGGTTGTAGAAAATTCTTGCTGTTTGGTACGGACTTGACGACTGGTTGGTGCTTTCAATGGCCCTGCTTTTCTCTAAGCACAAAAAACCAGAGTCTGCAGTGAACACCCGGTCATTGAGGTTTGCATTAGCTCTAGACCCACAATTGACGAAATACTCATCAGGTTGCTCATAGGCTAAAGAGAGAAAGTGAAGGGATGAGAAGTGGAAGAGAATAAAAAGCAGAGAAAATAGAGGGATATGGATGTTATGGTTATGAAGGCTTTCCATGAGAATTAATGGAGTTGCTGGATTTTGCTAATTGGTAGCAGAAGGAAAGCTCATCTGAGCTGAGTGACAATGGAAATTATGGCAAACAAAGACTTGGAATAGTAAAGTCGTGGACTTTGAAGTTGAAACACCAACCATGCAAGTCTGCAGTTAGAAAATTCCAAGCAAAAGTATGGTAGATTTATTTAATTCTCCCTTATATTTCGTAAACTATGCAAATACAAAAGAGGACATTTTGGGTGTTTCAGTTCTTTCTTGTCAGAGAGAGCCATATAATTGACTGAAATATCTTCCACCACCAATAACAAGTTTGGATGAGAACAGCAGAAACATCAATGGTCCACAATGATACAAAGAACACACTTGCATATGTATTAAAACGACTGGTAAGCAGCGAGTCAAGAAACTGACCTGTTTTAGGTGGATGGCCTCTCCATTATCCTTGTAGCTTTTGTAACCTATTAGTAGTCCATCTGAGTTTTCCAAGTGATCTGAGCAGGCGAATATACCTTCGTGCTAAATGCTTAAATTTTTTATATTAAATAAATGCTGTTATTTTCACCCCAATATAAAGAGAGTGAAGAACGAATTGTTAACCAACATATTCAGAGAAGCACGAGGAAGAAATCTGAAGAAGAAGAAGGAAAGAGAAACAGAGAGAAAGTGAGAGGAATTGCAATCTTGATTTCTATATTGCTTAATCTATTTTTAAGCTCCAGCACTATTACACTTTATACCTATTAACAGGGACGAACCCACTAGCACGCTAACCTGGGCTAAAGCCCAGGTAATTTATTTTTTATTTAAGCTAAATTAATACTCTAGCCTAGATCATCTAAATAAATATTATTAACTATTCCCATTAGGATAAGGCTACCTACCCAAATAAAATATTACTAATCTCACTAGGATTGGCTGACCAAGCCAACAAATAAATAAAAAGAATTAAACCACACACCCTACGTGAAAACACATTAGACTCTAACAGACATTCCCTCTCTCCTCAGACTTAATTAAAGCAAACTAAGGTAATTTTCCTTTCTTCTTCTTCTTCTTTTCTTTTGAAATTTTGGGGATTATTTAAGGTTTATGAAGTATCAATTAGGAATTTACAATTAAGGTTTATCAATTAGTTTTTTTTATCTTGGTGTTCTTTCTTGCTTGTATGAATTGTCAATTGGGGATTTTAATTCGATATTTAACTATTTAAGTATGTAATGTTTTTATTGAAATTTTT